GGAGAGGGAGAAGCAGGCTTCCCGCCGAGCAGGGAGCCCGATGTGGGGCTCGATCCCAGGACCCTGGGATCATGACCTGAGCTGAAGGCAGAGGCCTAACGACTGAGCCACCCAGGCGCCCCTGAATCTTCTCTTTTAAACAGCATATGCTTCTACATTTACCATCCAAAACAACACCGCTTGCTCATCTTTTCCAGCTGGCTCTTCCTGCTCTCTTACCAAGATGTGGTTCAACTTTCTACTTCCAAGCCACTCCTTTTTTTTTTTTAATATTTTATTTTTAAGTAATCTCTACACCCAACGTGGGGCTCGAACTCACAACCCCGAGATCAAGAATTGCATGCTCTACCCACTGAGCCAGCCAGGCGCCCCAGAGCCATTCCTGATTCCTCTTTTTCCTTCATTTCCACATGCACCAGCGGGTCCTGTTGACTCGAGATCTATGAAATAGCTGAATGGGATTGCTTGCCACTGCCTCCCAAGTGGGTCCAGGCCGCCATCATTTCTCTCCTCTCCCTCCCCAGACCATTCTTCACCCAACCACACCCTGTGGAAGCCCTTACACAGGCTTCTCATCAAACTCGAAATAAAACCCAAACCTCTTAGAGTAGCCAGGAGTCCCTGGGGCTCCACTCCTGGAGACTCCGTGGTCCCCAGTGCCTCATATCGTCCCTCTTCCTTCACTCTTCTCCAGCCTCACCCACCTTCTCCAAGCTCCTCAAATTTCTCGGTCTCCTTGCCTGGAATCTTCTTTCCCAGATGACTGCTTCTCACTCCTTGGGTTTCAGCCTCAATCCACCTCCTCAGAAAAAGCCTTCCCTGACTGTCGCCAGTCAGGCTCTATTAGGAACCCCTGTTGTTCTATGTAAAGAGCTTTCACTATCTGAAATGATGCACTTGTTTATTTTCTATTTATTCTCCGACTACCCACACTAGACTGTAGGCTCCATGAGGGCAGGGACTTTGTCTTTTTCCATGCAGAATCCCCAGTACCTGGCACATAGTAGATGCTCAACAAACACCTGTAGAATAAATGCAGGAATGTGGGCAAAGAGGACCTTGTGTTGAGGCCCTGCTGTCTGTAGTGAGTCCCCAAGCTTACCTCCATGCCCCTGGCCCCTAAAGTGGGAAGGAAGAGCCCCACACAAGGCTCAGACGGGTAGTCCATATAGTAACAGTTGATATTTACTGAGTATTTTTTACGTGCTAGCCATGGTGCCAAGCACTGCAAAGCACTAACCCATTTATGTCTCATAATAACCTCTGAGTTACTGTGAGGGTACTACTATTACCCCATTTTACAGACATATCAATTGAGGCCCAGAGTAGTAATTTGTCCGAAGTCCCAGCTGGAGAAAGGCAAAGGCTAAACTGGAACCCGGCCTTGGGGGTCTCTGCCCGAGGCTGTCCAGGGATACAGGCTGGTGGCCCCGTTATGAGTCACCTCTTGAGCCACCTACCCTCGTGTCCATCCAGCCAGCAGCCAGTCCTCCCACTGTGCTGCAGTCTGATGAGCTCCTGCTCTGTGCTAGGGGTTACTGAAAAGGAGCAGAGGCTTCTGTCCTTAGGTTGCTGTCAGAGACACATGTATTTACCCAGAGATATAGCTGGAAGGCTGAGGAGCTCAGAAGAGGGAGCAAATTCTTCCCACTGAGTCAGGGGCAAACCCCAAGCAGGTGGCCTTTGAGTGGGGCCCTGAAGGCTGAGTGGGACGCCGACAGTCCGAGGCATCCTTAGCAGGCAGGCCGGGGGAAGGCAACTGCAGGAGCAAAGGTGTCGGGGCTGGAATCGTAGGGTGTGTTCCAGAAATAGCAACCGAATCCTGGAAATGCTCGTCATCCTCTGGTGGCCCCAGGGGACAAGGGACAGTGAGGAGGACAGGGCCTCCTCACTGCTCCCCCAACCCTGCCACCAGACAGTGAGAAGCACCATGGGTGTGCCCCAAACCTGACACCCACTCGCTCACCCATCAGGGAGCACGTACTACGTCACAAGGACTGTTTAGGTGCGGGGGGATGGGGCTGGAAAGACACGCAGAAGCATATGCTGTGAAAACCGTAGGACAGGCTGTGACTATGGCTTAGGGATGGGTTGCTCGGGATAGGTGGTCAGGGAAGGCCTCCCGGAGCAATGGTATTTACCCTCGGACCTGAATGGCGAGTGAGAGGCAGTCAAGCACAGCTCTGAGCAAAGAGCTGTCCAGGCAGAACACACGGTGCAAAGGCCCAAGGCCAGGAGTGAGCTTGGCAAGCTGGAGGGATGAACAAGGCCAGCGTGGCATGGGGAGCTGAGCCGCGGGCAAGACGGTGTATGTTCAGTTAGGGAGGAAGGGGGAGGTGAGCCAATGTCGTCAGCCCTGCAAGGCCAGGAGAAGGAGTGAGGATTTTTAGGGTCAAAAATGCTGGTTTCCCCCCTCCCCATGGGACCATCTGGAAAAACAGTCTCCTAGGGGCACAGTGTTTGCCAGGACAGAGCTTAGCTAGAATCCAGATTGTATTTACAGGAAGAACAGGAGGCAGAATTTCTTCATCGGAATCAGCTGCACTCCTAGACTATACGCACGGTATGTTGTTGCCTGCCCGCGTGAGCTTTAAGACCCGTATAATTAAAATACCCTGACTAAAAGCTATTCCTGAGCTCCAGAGACGGAGCAGGACTTAGATGATTCACTGTGGACATGAAGACTGAACGTGGAATCTGGACCTC